CACCTTTCGGAAGAGTATTCTAGAATTCATACGTGTAACTTTCCGATTGGACAATGTTAAAAACCCCCTGTATGCGGATTGGAGGACTGTGATGATGATTTCGTTCTTACTAAAAACTACAAATACCTGACAATTTTGTACTATAATTGACACTGTCTGGAATAATATTCCTTTCATTAGTCTTCTGTCTTCTCATTGCGACTTGGAAGGGTTTTGATATTCTATTGCTCAGTTATACGCGCTATATCATGAAAACAACTTCTAGATATAACAACAGTAAAGTGTAAACAGTTTGAAAGCTTTTTTAAATTATCTAGAAAATAAATCAGAGCGTATTCTGATGTAAAAATCTAATATTGGAAATAATCCCTTGCAACTATCGATAACAACTAACATTTAAGCTACTTTTGGGTTACCGTACGTTAATTCTTCGTTGCTTTTAGCGATACAACTTGTTACACGCAACGATTTTCAACATCATTATTTTCTAAGCAAAGATAGATAGTGGCTAGCAGTGGAATACTGGACGCGCGTTTTGTCCTATTTGGTACTCGTCAGCTGGCTGTATCTCAGAGTTGATTTTCACTCTGGGACACGAACCCAGTACCGTTCGCTTCAAACGCCATCGCGTTATCCACTTGCTACTGAGTCCTGATAGTCACTTGCTTGTGCTATGGAATGAAGTTTAAATTTACTGATCAATTGCAGTCCTAAATAACAATGGGAAGAAACAAGTAAAACAACACCAAGTGAGTTATTTTTTTTTACATTGAAATAACTACAAAGTATGATGTAGAAATAGAACATTTTTTCATTTGTGTGATATAAATGAATGTTTTATAAATCACTTTATGGTTTAAAAACAGTAATTTGGTAACTGACATCAGGCCTCTGACACTGTTAAAAGATTCTTATGATAGGAACACTTTGAACGATTTGTTATCACATCAGTTATCTACCAGTTAGTCAGTCAATCAGTTAGCTGCAACGTAGGACCAGGCATATATATGCATCGGTCAAAGTTGCCTCATCTCATTAGTACCAAATACGTAGAAGTAGTTATTTCAATAACAGTGTAGTGAACGAGAACACTAGTGGGGACAACTAAATGTATTTATTTACAAAATTTCAGAATCCATTAGTTAAATTGAGAACAATATAGTAAATACTTCATTTGCAAAATGTGAATCAATCGTCTCAGACTTCATTGTTCTTTCAATTCTACACCAATCATCCTTTGTACTCGTTCTCTTTTCATTGATTTTGTTAATCATCTGCTTCAATCCATTTCACTTTCTATTAATGATACATACTACTTATATCTATCGACAGCAGTAGGATGCACCATACTAGTAATATATAAAAGAAAGATTGTGTATAAGGATATAGTAAAAGAAGAAAGAATTAGTTCGTAGAAAGAAAGATATAAGGCAATTTTAATCTCACCATTTAAGGGAAAACAAAGAGTGTATACATCGACGCCATTGTGATTGATTCTGAATCATGTCACTTAGAGAGTCACTAACCATTGGTTACGATAATTACTTTTCTATGTATAACACTAACTGTAAAATAAAATGTTTTCGGCTTAATCTCATAGTGTTATTAAAAAAAAAGGACTTTAATAGAATTCAACATGTGATTCAAGTAAATATTTTAAACAAACTCCTAAACATTCGCTAAATGACTAGGAAGCTTTAATAGAAAAAGATCAGTGATAGCATCATTCTTAGAAGAAACATCACAAAAAAATTAATATTTTTAAAAGAATACTAAAGATTGCCAGAAATATTTTGTATCGAACGAAGATTGACAGCCAAAGTTTACATAAACAAATTTAAATAAATTAATATATAAAACACTATGTAGATGGTTTCATGGTTGGTTGTTAGTAGGTAGAGAAATCTTTATCATCTATTTATTCAAATAAAGCAATTGGAAGACGGAGTTGATCTGAAAAATGTAATGTATTTGTGGTTTGGTTGAGATTAGACATTAAAACTGTTAGATCCTGGCTCAGTGATTTAGAGGTTAAGCGTTCACACGCGAGATCGAAGATCTTTGATTCGAATCCTAAGTGTGAGATTGTGCATTCACACTGTTCAGGAGTTTTATGCTAGGACGAAATGGTCGTTCAGTATTTTCAGGTTTTCAATGGTGGTCTAACATTAATCCATTCATCATATCAATCCAGACTTACGGATTATCAGGGAAAATTTAAGGTCTCGATAAATCGTTTTTGTATTTATAAGGAAAAGTTCAACTTTATGAATGGCCAAGGTTTTAATAAACCTGAGAATTCGTCCTTGACAATTTCTACACAATGTTTTAAAGGTTGTATCGTTGTTAATTCTGCCTCCCCCCTCCGTTTCAAGCACGTTTTTTGCTATCGATGAACATGGTTTTCTACTTCCCACATTCATCGAAATATTTGACATTAACTAGTTTTGAAGCCGTCTAGGCACGTATTCCATAACCCTTGATTGCATTGTTCAATTACTCTTCCCTATGTATGTGCGTCGTGCATCGTCTACGATCAATCGAAAGGACATCGACCAGTATGAATACGTTATTGGAACTCTGATAGAAACATAGTATTGATAAGTTATGGTAAATAGCTTCGATGAATGAGCCAGTAACATAGTTTTTAAAAAGTATCGGGATACTTTTAAGTTTGACAGCCGCTCGAGTATTTTTGAGTAATAACATTGAAATGCTTATAAAACCTTTATGTCTTACATATAGTTGCATATGATTTGGTGAAAGCACACTATTGAGGTGGTATATACTTGAATGAGGATTCAGACTCACTGGTCATTGGTACTTGGGAAATTGTTTTCAAAAAATAACTTAACAGTGTAAAGAAAATATAAATCGTAAATCATATGGTATTTGTTGTTGAAGCACTAATAATTCATCTTTGCTTTTTCATCTGTTAGTAGTTGTAGAAACATGATTCTTTATGCATTAAGTTCTCCCATTTGTTTCTACGGTATAAATGTCTGAAGTTTAACCAGTTTATTAGAATCAATGATCGGTTAACTGTAGTTCTACTGTATGTTATAAATATTATAGCTTTCTGAAGAGGTTTCCAAAACAAGTTAAGAAATTTGACCCCATTAAGATCTATATAAGTTCTGATTTACTATTTTTTTCTTTAATATCTAACTGTAAGACACAACGTTTTTGAAAATCCGAACTAAAACACTATTTACACTTGAAACACACATTTATTAATTACGGATGTATGTGTGGAAACACGTACATAGGGAGGACTAGTCGTGATTTGCAATTAAGGGTGGGTAAACACATAGCAAAATGGCTGTAAAAACAAATGAATTCCAATGGTCAAATAAGATCACAGGATAGACAAACATCATCCTCTATTGCTAAATATTTGATTGAGACCGGTCATAATGTTGATATCAAGTCAGCATTCGTAGTGTTGTACAAAAGCCTTCAAGAACATATGCTAAGTTTTGTGAAGCCCTGGCTAAACAGAAACTGATATCCCCTTTATGAGTTCAAAAGCAATTTGTCCTTACCCTTAACCTACCCTGGTAATACTTATTTATTTTCCAAAGTGGTTATCACATTCTGAACATACACAAAGGGAAAAGAGAGATTCTTCGATACAAGGCAATATACAACAATCGAATCACACTTGACAGAGAAGATTTGGAAGATGTAAAGTGATTTACATTTCTGGGCAGTATCATTGATTATCCAGATGTGAAGGTGTAGATCAGCAAAGCAAGAGCAGAATATCTACAATTGAAAAACATCTGGAACTCAAAACAACTGTCAACCAACACGACGATCAGGATTTTTAATACAAATATCAAAACAGTTCTACTGTGTGGGGCCGAAACATGAAAAACTATGAAAGCCATCATCCAGAAGATATTTGTGTTTATTAACAACTGTCTACGCAAAATAACTCGGATCCGTTCGTCGGACACTATCAGCAACAACCTACTGTGTGAAAGAACAAATGAGATCCCAGCGGAGAGAGAAATGAGGAAGTTGCGCTAGAAGTGGAATCGGAAATAACCCATTTGCGTCACAAGTCAAATCCTCATATGAAATCCTTAAGCCCGACGGAGAAGAGGAAGACCACAGAATACATTACATCAAGAAATTTAGACAGACATGAGAAGAATGAACAACAATTGGATAGAAATAGAAAAGAAGGCCAAGGATAGAATGGGTTGGAGAATACCGATCGGCTGCCTATTCTACATTGGGAATAACAGACGTAAGTAAGTAAGTAAGTAAAGTAAGTAGGTAAGTAAGTAAGTAAAGTAAGTAAGTAAGTAAGTTTATCACATTGTTTTTGTGTACTTTATTTCTCTTTGTTAAGTCTTACCTCTAACCTATCTAGTTGACCTTTTAATTTCCATACAAAATATATCTGAACAAGTACATGATGTATGATCAGATTATCCCAAATGTATTACACAAGTATATCATTACATAATTCTAATAAACTTGATCTTCTTACCGCATTATCAAAATGACTAATTATTTTCAATTACATCAAAGTATAATTTAATTATAAACAATGAATATTAATTATTTAATTATTCAATTATATTCAATGATAAATGTTTTTATTTTACAAATATTTATATTCAATTTCATAGGAAATCTACTTATATAAATTAACAAATCAAATATTCCCAAAATTCATTTCATTTTTCATTTAACCAATCAAATGAGAAGATATAACTGATTAATATTTTTCCCCCCTCCCCCAAGAAAAAATTTATCCAATCAAATTATTATTAGGATTATGATTATGATTATCATGATAATAATTGTTGATTATATTAAGAGAATATCTAAGTATAATGACTGTAATGATTCCTGTTTTTGACAATATGAATTATTGTTACATAATACATGATAGAAATAATGATTCCCTATTACATATTATATAATAATCATAATAATAATAATAATGATAATTTAATTCAATTAATCGATATGTGACAAATATGGAATTATGGAGGCAAAATGCCAAAAATTACATGATATTTTATATATTGATTATTGTATTCATAAATCAATTTATTAAAATTACAGGATTATGTATGAAATCATCATCATCATCTGAATCGATAGCAATTACATATGAAATTATTGAAGAATCTATAACACCAATGATTATAGGTAATTTAAAAAAAGATTTATGTATAGATCAATATTATGATACAAATAATGAATTACTATTACATAATAATAATAATAATAATGAACAATCCATTACCCATGAATTTGTATTATTTCCTACATCACAACCATTTTATAAATATTTTAATATAAAAACTGACATAGTAACTAATTATAATGAACAATATTTATTATTAAATAAATCAATTGATCGTGAACAATTATGTAGTAGAACAAATGAAATTCATTCAAGTCATTCTAAATTAATACAATCTAATTATATAAAACAACCTCATGAACAACAACAATTACAATATTATAATGATGATATGAATACATTATGTAATTGTAATCATTTATTAGGTTGGTGTACTATTTATTTACATTTAGCTCTTATTCCATTCTATAATAATCAATCCAATAATCATATTGATTTATCTAATATATCATTTATGAATTATACAAAACAAATAAATACTATTGATTATTGGTTAAATTCTATTAGTATTATGCAATTTTTTATTATAGAATTAAAAATTATTGATATTAATGATAATACACCAATATTTAATCCATCAAATTATAAAATTATAATAAGTGAATCTGATAAACCCGGTATGATATATCGTTTACCAATAGCATTTGATCAAGATCTAGGTATGAATTCAATGTTATTATATAAGATTATATATATAAATGGAACAAATAATCAAGGGAATATAATACCATTATATTCAATGAATAATAATAATAATAGTAATTATAATGACAAATTATTTATTCTTATACAAGAAACTAATCATAAACTACCATTTATTGCATTACATTCATTAGAACAAACTGATATTAATAAACTGTATATAAAATTAATTGAACCATTAGATAGAGAATTATATTCTAATTATTATGTAACAATTATAGCCATGGATAAATCAATAAATAATCAAAAAACAGGTACATTATCTTTATTAATTGATGTAGCTGATATTAATGATGAATTACCTAGATTTAAACAAAATCAATATGAATTTCATATTGTAGAAAATTCACCAACTGGTACTATTATAGGTCAAGTAAAAGCTATTGATAAAGATGATGGTTTAAATTCAATGATTAATTATACAATTAAAGAAATGAAACCATTTATTAATCATAATCATGGTAATAATAATAATAATAATGATTATTATGATTATTATAATGATTTATTTTATATTGATTCATTAACTGGTCATATTAAATTATATACAATGATTGATCGTGAAAAATTATTAAAAATTCATTTAATTATTGAAGCTAAAGATAATGGACAACCATCAAGATCATCATTAACTAATGTAATCATTCATATAGATGATATCAATGATAATAGTCCAAATATTGAATTATGGGGTTATAAAGAGATATTAAATTCAACAGGATTATTGATTAATAATAATAATAATAATAATAATAATAATAATAATAATGATAATGATAATAATAATAATAATAGACATCATAGTAATTTAATACCATTTTATTTAATTTCATCACAAGGTCCTTTAATTCCTGTTCATATATGGGTTAGTGAATATTTAAATCCTAGATCAATATTATCAATTATTAAAGTGAATGATCTTGATCAAGGTATTAATGGTACAGTTCAATGTCATTTAAATGATTCCTATTTTATATTACAACCAGATATATCAAATAATAATAATAATAATGATAATAATAATAATAATGATAATCAATTAAAAAGTTATTACGTCATCTTATCAAAATCATTAGATTATGAATTACAAATTATTCATCATTTACCAATTATATGTTATGATTTAGGTATACCAATATCTAAAACATCAACGGTTTTATTAAATATACATATAAAAGATGAAAATGATAATGAACCAAAATTTCTAATACCAGAAGTTTATAAACCAGCTGAATGGATAAATAAAGAACAATTTGTACCTAATATACAAGAGAATAATAATAATAATAATAATAATAATATGAATACTATATTTGATTTTCATAGAACATTATTAAATCTTAAAATGATACCATTAGAGATTACAATTCCAGAAACATGTTCTATTCATACAATAATATTAAAATTTCCTATACTTGATATAGATAATGGAATAAATAGTATCATAAATTATAAATTACAATTAATAAATCAATATCCTATCAATCAATATAATAATAATAATAATAATCAATCAATAGATATGATGAATAATATTGATTTTTTACAAATTAATAATAAAACAGGTGAAATTTTAATTCAAAAATCATTAAAATTAATACCAGAATATTTAAAATTTTTATATGAATTGATTGTTACTGATCAAGGTTTACCAAAAAAATTATCAAAATTATATATTTCATTACAAATTATTATAGTAAATTCATTTTCACCTGAAATACAATTAATTAAATTAAATAATATAAATATAACTATTATAGAAGTATATAAAAGTAATTCTAATAAAAAATATGAAATTGAACTTTATGAAAATCAACCAGCTAATATACAAATAGCTAAATTTATAAGTTATGATCCAGATAGAGGTGAAGCTGGTCGTATCACATATAAATTAATACAAAATTTAATTAAAACATGTAGTGGATCATATCAATCAATCAATAATACTATCACTATTGATTCTAATTCTGGTATTATAACAATAATAAAATCATTAGATCGTGAATTAGATGGTAATTTAATATTATTAACAATTTATATACAAGATCATGGTATACCAATATATACAACAACTATATATATTGATATTAAAATATTAGATATTAATGATAATCCTCCTATATTTATATTACCATTACAATCATGTCATAAAATGGATATGATAAGTTATACAAATCATATAAATAATATAATACCATGTAATACATTATATTATTATTCATTAATATATAATAATACTATCAATCAATTATATAATATAACAATGATTATACCTAAACAATCTAAACAAAATATATTATATCCATTTGTACAATTTAAAGCGATTGATTATGATTTAGATAGAAATTCATTGATAACATATCATATTTATAAAAATTGTTCAATAATCAATAAATTAAATGAAAATTTTACTAATTCATTATTTATTATTGATAAACATAGTGGTTGTTTAAGTATTATATATAAATTTACTACTGATACATTAGATACTACTTATTATTTTTGTATTATTGCAAAAGATCATGGTGAATTAATACAATATTATAGTATTATGAAAGTATATATTGAAATGAAATCAAATATTAATCAATCAATTCTATTCATGAATTATTCAATTCAATCAATAGAACATAGAATAAAAACTGATTTATCATTTAATAATTATAATATACCACAATTAAAATTATATCAAGAAGAAGAAGGAGAAGAGGAACAACAACAACAACAAGAACATCCAGAACAAGAAGAACAACGAGAACAACAACATGAACATACATTAACACCAATTATTAGAATTTTATTATGTATTACAACTACTTTAGGTGGATTAATGGTTATAATTGTTGGTATATTAAGTATAAAACAACCTAAATGGTTAATATGTAATTTATGTAAAAGAAATTCTAAGGAAGCAGCTAAAGCTGAATTATTAAGATTTCATGAGGGTAAGTATTTCATTCAGATGTATACTTTATCGTTTATATTGTTAACAGATTTTAGTTAGATAATGACTGAAAATTATGAAACACTGGATAGTTGTTTTAATTTGGCACGAGACCCCATATTAATCAGGTATTCATCACCATAATAGTAATCGAACTCAAGATGTTCAGTTTGTAGTGAAGACTCGTAACGTTTATAACACTGATCTAGTATTCAATGGTTTGCATCGATAAAGTTCGTTGGGCACAATTGTGCTTTACTGTAATGCATGAATTGTAGATAATATTTAAATTACATAATTGGTGTATTCGTGGTATTTTTAAAATCTTACGAAATGACAGCAAATAATGTAGATTTTCTTGAAATAGACAAGTTAAAATGAAAATTATGACTTCTGGCTACCTAATTTACCAAATCATGATAATTTCAATAAACCACAATTAAAATTATATCAACAACAACAATAACAACAACGAGAACAACAACAACAACATGAACATACATTGACACCAATTATTAGAATTTTCAGAAGGGGTTTTGTTGAGATTGTAGTAATCTCGACGGTTAAGATCATGAGTCAGTTGAAGCTAGACCACCGTAGTCCCACAATAGGACGAAACGGCCGTCCGGTGCTTCCAGGTTTTCCATGGTCGTCTAGCTTCATCTGATTCATGATCTTAACTATTAGAATTTTATTATGTATTACAACTACTATAGGTGGATTAATGATTATAATTGTTGGTATATTAAGTATAAAACAACCTAAATGGTTAATATGTAATTTATGTAAAAGAAATTCTAAGGAAGCAGCTAAAGCTGAATTATTAAGATTTCATGAGGGTAAGTATTTCATTCATATCTATATGTTATATCCTAGCAAAGATTGAATTACGAGTAACGTCTGAGACCTATTGATGGACTAATATTATCTATATATTCTTATGGTATAACTATTCAGTAATTAGATTATGTATATCTATATTCCCCTTAGTATAAGCTGTATTTTGACCTATAGTTTATTATTGTACGATTTACTGTTCATAAGTTATACTCAGTTTATTAATTACAGTCTCCAACGTTCACACCCACGTCTTGGCTTTATTGTGTATAATTGTTATTTCCTATTTTATGGTGCGTTGCGGTATGTTTGGTTGGTATATAAACCTAGGATGTCTGAAATAAATCGTTTGCATAGTGGAGGCTGTTACTGGAATTCTGGACTCAGCTCGACGGGCTAAGCGAGCAACGGACCAATAAGACGCTAGGATGATCAGACCGGTCAGATGTCGTTGGTTTAGTACGGTATAAGAGCAAATAAGTCGTACTTTGATTAGTGAATAGATTACGTGATAACTAGCGAGCCATAAAGTCACAATATATATATATATATTGCATGTTTCATTTAGCATTTTGGTGCAAAGAGGACTGGGTGAAGTTAGACATTAACACCGCTGGATGCCGGTCGGCTAAGTGATCCAAAGATTAAGCGTCCGCACGCGAGACTGACAGGTCCTGGGTTTGAATCTTGCGGGGTAGGATCGCGGATGCCTACTGCTCAGGGGTCCCGTAATAGGATGAAAAGGTCGTCCAGTACTTCCAGGTTTTTCATGGTGGTCTAGTTTCAGTTGACTTATGAATTCAATTAATAAAACATTGTTACACTTTATAGTTCACATTACTAACTGATTTTGGTTAGATAACGACTGAAAACCAGGACACATTGGGTAGTTGTCTCGTTCTAACACAAGTATCCATCACTATAACAGTAATCCAGCTCAGCGTCTTCATTTTGTAATGAATACTCTTAACATTTATAGCACTAAGCTAGCATTCAATAGTTTGTATCGACAAATTTGGTTGCAAACAATTGCGCTTTGATATAATGCATCAAGTCTAGGTAATATTTAAATCATATAATTCATGGTTTCGTAGTATTTGTTTTAAAATATTAGATAGACGCCAAATAATGTAGATTGTCTTTGAATAGACAATTTAAAATGAAGATTATGACATCTCGGTAACTACCAGCTATGGATAATGATACTAAAAATTAAGTGACTAAACATGTTTACGTCTGGTATTTAGTCTACTAATTAAGAATCTTAGATTTCAATGTGTATATGACTCATTATCTTCAAGGAAAAACCTAACGCCTAAAAACATTATTTAGAAAATATAAATACCTCAGTGAAATCTTTTCGTGATTAAAGATATTGAAGTGGGACTTTCAGTATACATAGTTAAAATAATCTCTCTGCTATTACTCTTCTGCTCTCTTATAATGTACATAGGGTGATTCAAAAGTGGGTGAAATTTAGAGTACTTAATATAACGTAAATGTTGGTGATCTCAATTGATTGTTTTAAACAGAAAACATACGATACTTTAGTCTAAATAGAAGATGTATTTTTCACACTTTTTAATCGCTTTTTTAACAAATTATATAGAAATCTATCTGTGGATATTAGTTAGTATGATCGAATCTATGCATAGTGGTGTAAAAGGGCCATAAAGACTGATATTTTCATTACTTCTTCTTACGTTTACACTATGAATTTTCTATAATTTTTAATTCTTTCAGGCCGCTTTTTAATTTGTGTAATAACTCATGGAGTAATAGTATACTGATCCTGAAATTTTAAGCACGATAAATGTCATCAAATGAAAAAGTATTTTCCAAAAGTGTGAACACACTATAAACAAAGATGGACTGTGGCTAGCAGTAGAATCCAATACGTGCGTTTTGTCTTGTTCTGTACACACATCTGACGAGTCCCAAGTAAGACGAAACGTGGGTGTTGGATTCCACTGATAGCCACCATCCATCTTTGTTTATAATGTTTGTAACTTAAAGCAATATCAAGGCAATCTGCACAGTATGCAAATATGCAAATAAGAGACTGATCAATTACACTTTATTAATTTATTTATTTAAACACATAAACATTAGTACAAAGGAGCACCAAATGCATATGCACCACACAAGTTACTTGATTTGCATGTGGGCTGTGATTCAGCCTGAAGCCCAAACCGGAACAGGTGGTTTTATTAAGGGGACACACCCTGAGCCTTCGACATAAAGGTCTGATCCACAAGGCAATGGAGCAACTTCAGAAGTCGCAGTCCAATGATAGCTGGTGACCAACGATTGGTTCATACGTCATTTGTTTCCTCAGGATCCTGGAGTCCGTGTTTACCATTGGTTTGGAAACAGGGCTCTCCAACTTCCCTAGGTGGATCCTCTATATCCACCAACGGGGTTAAAGCACCGGATATTTGTTTACGTAAACAACACACGTGGTGCAAGAAGGTAGTGAGTAGGACTTCCGTAGAATTGTTTGTATAGGGTTGGACATGTGAGAGCATTTGAGTACGGAGAACTGACTCTCCCTCACTCTCTCCGGTACCAAGGCATTTAAAGGCGATTAATTACCAGCCTAAACATCAATCGCAACATTCAAACAAACAATATAAAATTAATATAAATTTACTAGTTTTAATAAGTTTACATCTGGCATAATTTATCAATAAGAATTATCTTATGAATAAAGAAGCGTTGTCATATCAACTATTTACGTGCTCCATGTATTTTTCTTTCTACTGATGATTAATTTATATTATAAAGTTACTCATATAAGTTATTTTTTTCTTTAATTAATCATGAATTAATTATGTAATGATTATCTTCAATTACATTTTGATTAGTTGTCATTCAATATAGTAACAATTTATCATTCATCTAACTTTAATAAAGATAGTAATAAATTGATTCTCTTGTTATTAAACATTATAAAATAACCTAATTATCTTAACTAAAATAATACTACTAACAAACTAGACTAGTAATCATAAACAATATGAATTAATGAATAGATCAATTTATTGGGTTTTTTTTTTTTCATTCATCTACGTAACCATAACAGTTATAAATTGAAATAAATAAAGAATTGGAACATTGTAAATAAGACTGTATGTACATATTTATATATAAATGTGTATACATCATATAATCTGTCTTAATCTTATTATGCTTTCAATAAGAACTTTATACACGCATCTATTCATAATTCATAATTAAAGCATATTTCATAGAATCTATTAGGTTAACAAAATAAAATATAGTTTTCTACTTATTAGTAGTATATATATATATATGTACATAAATTCTTCATATTTATAATAGTCTATCAAAATATTGAAATGATAATATTTGACTTATTTGCTTTTGTATTCTGCCAAAAATTATTTATAATTTTTTTCTACATTTTTATGAGCCACCAAAACTTTTGTTTCCATTTCTTTTTTTTTCTTTTTTGAAAAATTATTTTTTGAAAAATGAAAAAAAATAAAGGGGGGGGAGAGGGGGATAAATAAAAAAATTGTTTTTTTTTTGTTTTAAAAGAAAAGTTATTTTTTAACCAAAAATAAACAAACAAACAAAGATTATTATAGACAGATATATATATTAGTAATGAAATGTCTACAAAGAGAAAGAGCGAGAGAAAAAAAGGAAAAAAAACTAAAAAAAGAAAATAATAAAATAAAATTATTCAAGGGGATTAATAAATATATACGTATATATATATATATATATATAACAATTGGGAATAATTAATGGTAAGCAAGACAACCTGTCTTGTACTAAAGGAAAAAATAAAGAAAAATGGGTTGCGAGAAACATTCAACTATAGACGAGTTAACGATTAATATTTTAATTTAATATAAAAGTTCTGTATTCATATAATATGAAATAGTTAAATGTGACCATTTAAACTAAGGACAATGAAAAACAAACAGAATAATTCATTTATGTTTTATTAAGCTTTTTTTTGTTTGTTTTTTTCTTCGTTTTAAAGTTTCATTTCATTTGAGATATATACTTAGAGCGATTATATTGTTTAAATAATCATTCAATTGTATACTTGTATTGGGTGATTAATTTATCGTATATGAATTTATTCTATCTTAATGTTAGGAGTGTAAATCTATCAACTATGTAACT